GTGGTGGCTCACGCCTGTAATCCCAGCACTTTGGGAGGCCGAGGCAGGTGGATCACCTGAGGTCAGGAGTTCAAGACCAGACTGGCCAACATGGTGAAACCCTGTCTCTATAAAAATACAAAAATCAGCTGGGCGTGGTGGCGGGCACCTGTAATCCCAGCTACTAGGGCGGCTGAGGCAGAAGAATCGCTTGAACCTGGGAGGTGGAGGTGGTGGTGAGCCAAGATCATGCCATGGCACTCCAGAGACTCCGTCTCAAAAAAAGAAAACATGGTGCAGTCCTTCACCCCATGAGTTCCAGAAGAGCATCATGCTACACATCCAGACGACACCCAAACAGCAGCCGGCTCCTATTTCCTTGTTTGCAATCGTCTGTTTAAAAGCCACTGCCATATCCTGTATTTAACTAGGCAAACACTTATGGAAGCTCTATCAAGCCTAGACGGCTTTATACTCTCCACTCCCCACCAAAGTAAATGGCGAGAAGGTTACTCAATCCTGTTATTTCTCTGAGTTCCAGTATTTTCTGACATGCCTGGATGACTCATCTGCCAATCATTCTTACCCACAAACACCAACTTTCCCACATCCCTGGGTCTGCAGCACACATAGAGCGGGAGAGGCAGGGACATCACATTGCTCCCAAGCGCTGCATTCTGCACGAGGGGACTCCAGTTGGGCACCCACAGGCACACGTTCAAAGTGAATTAAAAATAACGTGGTCCGTCAACAGATGACTGGGTAAAGGAAATGTGGTACATATACACAGTGGTGTACTATTCCACCGTACAAAAGAACGGGATCCTGTCATCTGCAACTACATGGATGGACCTGGAGGGCATTATGGGAAGTGAAATAAGCCAGGCACACAAAGAAAATACCCCATGTTCACAGTTGCTTGTGGGATCTAAAAATCAAAGCCATTGAACTCGTGGGGATAGAGAATACAAGAATGGTTACCAGAGCCTGGGAAGGTTCTGGGGAGGAAGGTGGGATGATTAATGGGTACAAAAAATAGTTTAAAAAATGAGTAAGGCCAGGCACAGTGGCTCACGCCTACAATCCCAGCACTTTGGGAAGCCGAGGCAGGTGGATCACCTGAGGTCAGGAGTTCGAGATCAGCCTGGCCAACACGGTGAAACTTCATCTCTACTAAACATACAAAAATTAGCTGGGTGTGGTGGCAGACGCCTGTAATCCCAGCTACTCAGGAGGCTGAGGTAGGAGAATCCATTGAACCCAGGAGGTGGAGGTTGCAGGTAGCCAAGGTCACGCCACTGTACTCCAGCCTGGGAGACAGAGTAAGACTCCATCTCAAAAAAGAAAAAAAAAAAGAAAAGAAAAGAATAAGACCCAGTATTTAGCCCAACTGGAGACTATAGTCAATAATAATTTAATTGTACATTCAAAAATAACTAAAAGAGAGGCCAGGCACAGTAGCTCATGCTGGTAATCCCAGCACTTTGGGAGGCCAAGGTGGGTGGATCATGAGGTCAGGTGATCAAGACCTTCCTGGCTAACACAGTGAAACCCTGTCTCTAGTAAAAATACAAAAAATTATCCAGTGTGGTGGTGCACGCCTGTAGTTCCAGCTACTTGGAGGGCGGAGGCAGGAGAATTGCCTGAACCCGGGAGGTGTCATTCAAAAATGGCAGCTATTTGAATTTCACTATATTCAGACTCCAAAAATTTTTCCAAAAATGTTTTGTCCTTGGTGGGCTATATAAAACCATCAACAGTTATCTACTCACGGTCACAATGATGGTGTTCAAGCCCAGGCCAGGCTAAATGAACTGCCCCCACCATGCATGCCTGCCCCAGTCCTGACCCAGCTGCACCCCCACCTCACCCCCGTCCCTCTGGAATGGCTCCCACTAAACACAAAACATCCCGGCCCTGCCCCCAGCATGGAACTGTTTCCTCCACCTCGTCCCTCATTAAACCTAAACCCTATTATTGGGCCAAGTCATTTTTAAACAGGCCAAATTTCCCATGCAGGCCTGTTCCATACAGCACCTCCTGAGCCGTAATATTGCATCAAAGGCTTTAGGGCATGGCTGTAAATCCTGGGGAGCCAACAACACTCCATTGAAAACAGTGGATGAGTTTGAAACCACCGCTTCCCCGCATTGTTCCTTCATAAAACCTCCAGTTAAGTCAAGGGCTGATCTTTTGTTTGCTCTGTTTTCTACCGGGTGCTTTGCCGTCTGGAACTACAGATCTTATGGTCATAGTGATTTGCTTCTTTGGAGTATTAAATCCTAGTCAAATGGTCTGAGGTTTCTGCACATCCTAGCATGCCCACTTCATTTATCTTTCTTATTTATTTATTTAGAAGTTAACTTGTTAATTCTTCCAGGGCTCCCGTGGCAATGCTGTATCCTAATAACTCACTGTTTAAATAACTCCTCTGAAACGGACTCAGGCAGAGAGCCAATCTGAGCTCTTCCTGGCCGTGGTCTTATAAATAAGGTCACCTGCCTGCAGCAGCACCCTTGGATGCATGGTCAGGCAAACCTCAGAGAGCCACTGGGGGACCTTTATTGCTCCCCCAGCCCCCGCCAAGTTCTTCTTTCTCTTCTGCGTCTTCCAATTCCAACACATTCTATTTATTTCTTATTTATTTTGTCTTCATTTTGTCTTATTTATTTATTTAGAGACAGAATCTCACTCTGTAGCCCAGGCTGTAGTGCAGCGGCAGGATCTCGGCTCACTGCAACCTCAACCTCCCGGGTTCAAATGCCTCAGCCTCCCAAACAGCTGGGACTACAGGCGTCGCCACCACGCCCGACTAATTTTTGTATTTTTAGTAAAGACAGGGTTTCACCATGTTGGCCAGGCTGGTCCTGAACTCCTGACCTCAGGTGATCCACCCGCCTCGGCCTCCCAAAGTGCTGGGATTACAGGCGTGAGCCACCGCGCCCGGTCATATGCCTACTTTAAAGCAGAGCACCCATTTGACACTGGAATAATTCGGTTTAGCAACTAATATCGTCAAAAATGTTCTCTTAAAGAAGAGGGGGAACGTGAAGGGCAGCGTGTTTTCTGCAGACCGTGGTTGAATGCCGAGTGCCCCTGCGCGCTGGCTGTGCAGCCCTGAGGATGTCACTCAGCACCCCTGAGCCTCCGTGTCTTCGTCTGTAAAACGAACAGCAGTGTAACACCACTCAACTCCCAGTTACCAGGGAAACAAATGACAGCGCCAGTAAAAGAGTACAGAAAACCGCTTGCTGGAACCCAGTCAAAGGTAACCATTGTCATCTGCGGCGGGTGTGCGTGCATGAGGCCGCAGTATCATTACACAAGGGCTTGTCAGCAAAACAGAAGAGCCGAGAACTGGATGATGGAGACGGTGACTACATAGCGTGGAGCCCCCAGCCATCTCCAACTGTGGTCCAGGATGTGCGCCCCGGGTGAGATGGCCTCAGGAACCAACCTCCTTGGAAGGGAATCCATCCTAAACCCAGCTGCCTGATTAACGGCTGGAGGACCCACATTACTGATGCCGCAGACACAAAAAACATCCCCGCCCCCAGCACAGAACTGTTCCCACTACCTTGTCCTCGTCAAATCTAAACCCTATTATTGGGCCAAGTCATTTTTAAACAGGCCAGATTTCCCATTCTGTCAGATGCAGTGGTACAGAAGAAAAACTTCCTAGGAACATCCATAATCCCAATTAGTTCGCCCTTAAGAGCCTATTCCATATTCTCCACACATTTTACAATCTCACAAAACCTAAAATATTCACCAACAAATAGACTGTACTGCCAAAACTGCACAGAAGGTTTGTATCATATCAAAACTGAATCTGTAAGTTTCACATCGTATAAGCAAATAACTAACTGGAAGCTGTTAGCTATCCAAGCCCTCCTATATCACAGAATTACAGCCAACCTCGCAAACAAAACAAATCAGAAAGTTAACTTGTTAATTCTTCCAGGGCTCCCGTGGCAATGCTGTATCCTAATAACTCACTGTTTAAATAACTCCTCTGAAACGGACTCAGGCAGAGAGCCAATCTGAGCTCTTCCTGGCCGTGGTCTTATAAATAAGGTCACCTGCCTGCAGCAGCACCCTTGGATGCATGGTCAGGCAAACCTCAGAGAGCCACTGGGGGACCTTTATTGCTCCCCCAGCCCCCGCCAAGTTCTTCTTTCTCTTCTGCGTCTCCCAATTTCAACACATTCCATTAGTACCCTCCCCAGCACCACAGGCCTGCCCTGGTCCTCGGGGTCAGAGGCGTGGAGGACCTGCCAAGCATCTGACCGCCGAGCCAAGGTTTCCTCTCCCTTCTGTTCACCTCCAGCCCCAGGGCCGGCAAGCAAGTTTCCCACACTGGCTCCACTGCTAACTGGGCAGGCCTCTTCAACAGCACCCAAATTACAAGCCCGTGTCCAGAAGCAGAAGCCAAGATGAAATGAGGCTATGCTTTTCAAAGAGCTTACACAAAGCTCTGCACACAGCCGCCCTGTTATTATCTGGAAAAGACAGAAAATCGAGACCAGGGGAACACCGGCTACATTACAGGGTGACTCAGGGGCCCATCTGACAATCTCCAGCAGTGCCACCCTGGAATTAATTGGCACATTGAAGGGGCAGTGATCTCTGATCTTCCCAGAGAGCCCGTAGCTGGCTGATGAAAGAGCATACCCAAGCAAACCCTGTGACCCAGATCACCCGGAGGCCACATTTTAATTGCTGTACTCAGGAGCCACTAGCCTGCTGAGGAAGGCGCTGAGCCCTGGTCTTGAACTTGGAGAAGCGCAGGCCTGCCCCCAGGAAAATGCTGACGGAAGCAGCGCGCTGCCTCTCCCCCTTAGCTGGGCCTAAGTGGGGCACTCACCCCCAACATCCAATCAGAGGCAACAAATCCTTGCAGAGCTCCCTGTGCCCAGCCCAAATGCACCCCGGCATGCCACGCAAGGCCCTTGGTGGGTTCCTGAGGTTCTCCAGGAGGCCCACCCAGAGCCGCTCCTCCCGTCCCAATGGCCACTCACCAGACACGGACACCTCCATGAGCGCCTCCAGCGGCCGGTTGTTGTCCAGGTCCCGGCTGAGCTGCAGCTCGCCCGTGGCGGGGTCCAGTAGCAACAGGTGCAGCTCGTTGCCACGCAGGAAGGTGTAGTTGAGGCTGTCCGACACGTCGGGGTCATGGGCTGGGATGCGGCCGATCACGCCGGTGGGGAAGCTGTTCGACTTGTTGGTGACATAGTTGTTGAAGAGGATCTGGAAGTCGGGCAGTACCGGAGGGTTGTCATTCTGGTCCACGAGAAGAATGTGCACCGTGGCTCGGCTCACCAGTGGGGCCGACGTGGCCTGCACCACCAGCACATACTCCCGCCGGACCTCAAAGTCCAGCTCCACCAGGGCACGCAGGTCCCCGTTCAGCAGGTCCAGCTGGAAGAAATGCCTCATGTCGCCCTCCACAATCTGATACATGATCTGGGCATTGGGGCCTTCGTCAGGGTCCTGAGCTCGGATCTTTGCCACCACCGACCCCACTGGGTTGTTCTCCTCTACAAACAGCTCCAGCTCGTCCTTCTCGAACATGGGGGCGTTGTCATTAATGTCCAAGATGGTCACCTGGACTTCCACCGAGGCGCTAAGGGCAGTGGGGCTGCCGCGATCCACAGCCACAGCCCAAAGATTGTACACGGCCACGTTCTCCCGGTCCAGCCGGCGCTGGGTGCGGATGACACCAGACGTGGGCTCAATGTAGAAGTCCCCATCGCCGTCATCCCCACCCTGGAAGGTGTACAGCAAACGCCCATTGGGACCCGAGTCCCGGTCCGTGGCAGAGACCTGGAGGATGCTGGTTGAGGGCGGAGCATCCTCAAAGATGGAACCCTGGTAGAAATCCCACAGGAACTGGGGTGCGTTGTCGTTGGCATCGAGGATGAGGATCTCCAGGGTGGTGGTGTCCGACTTCTGCGGGATGCCGTTGTCCAGGGCCATGATGGTCAGCGTGTAGGCGACCTGCTGCTCATAGTCCAGCTCCATCATGGTGTACATGATGCCACTGTCGGGGTCAATGCGGAACTGCGGCACGGGGTCCTGAATCACGTAGGTGATGCGGGCGTTCTCTCCTGTGTCCTCGTCGTTCGCACTGAGGGTAGCAATGGAGGTGCCCACAGGCCTGTCCTCACTGACGCTCACCGTATAATGGGAGCTCTGAAAGACCGGCCGGTGGGTGTTGGCATCGGTGACGTTGATGAGGACATGCGCGGTGTGTGACCGTGTGCCGTCGGACGCGGTCACCGCCAGCACGTACTGCTGCTCCTGCTTGTAGTCCAGAGGTAGCGCCAGGGTGATGAGGCCGCCCCCCCTCTGGCTGCTGAGCGCAAAGCGGTTCCGGGTGTTGCCGCCCGTGAGCTGGTAGGTGATCACGCTGTTGGCGTCGCGGTCGCGGGCCTGCAGGGTCAGCACGCTGCTCCCCACGGCCGCATCCTCGTTCAGACGCAGCTCGTAGGTGGGCTGTGTGAACACCGGGTCGTTGTCGTTCACGTCCAGCACCGTGATGGAGACGCTGGTGGAGGAGCTCATGGGGGGCGAGCCGTGGTCCACGGCCTCCACCCCGAAGCTGTAATGCTCCACCTCCTCACGGTCCAGCTCCGCACACAAAGTGATCCAACCGGAGCTGTTGTGGATCTGGAAGGGGAAGTCTGGGGCCGGGACAGGGTTCTTAGGCCCAGCGCTGCCGCCCCCCAGAAAGGCGGAGGCCGTGTCCACCAGGCGGTAGTGCAGCCGGGCGTTCTCCCCCGAGTCCGCGTCCACCGCCTGAATGTGCACCACGGAGTAGCCCAGGGGCACGTTCTCTAGCACCGTGGCCTGGAAGGGGCTGCTCACAAAGATGGGCTCGTTGTCATTGACATCCAGCACCTGCACTGACACCACCCCAGAGGAATTGATGAGCGGGGGCCGGCCCCCATCCTGGGCTTTGATGCTCAGCGAATACTTCTGGACATCCTCGAAATCCAGGGGGTTGATCACATCCAGGATCCCGCTCAGCGAGTGCAGGTAGAACTGCCCGGCCACGTTCCCGCTGAGGATGCTGTAGTGAATGGCCGCGTTCTGGCCCTGGTCCCGGTCCGTGGCCTGCACGCGCAGCACAGCCGTGTTGAGCCCCACGTCCTCGGGCACCTGGACCACGTAGTTCTGCTCGCTGAACTGGGGGTAGTTGTCATTCTCGTCCTCCACCTCGATGTACACGGTGGCCGTGGCGCTGAGCGGGCCCGGGTTGCGGCCCTGGTCGCTGGCCTCCACGAGCAGCTGGTACTCGGCCGCCTCCTCCCGGTCCAGCACCGCGCGCGTGCTCACCACGCCGGAGCTTGCGTTCAGCTGGAAGACGTCCCACGCGCCCCCCAGCATGCGGTAGCGCATGTTGGCGTTGACTGGCGAGTCGCGGTCGCTGGCGCGGATGGTCAGCACCTCGTAGCCCACCTCGAGGTTCTCCCGCACGCGCTCGCGGTACTCCGACTGCTCGAAGACCGGGCTGTGGTCGTTGGTGTCTTTGACCAAGACGGTGATGTAGGTGGTGGCCGAGCGCGGCGGCGTGCTGTAGTCCACGGCTTTTACCCTGAGCACGTGCGTCTCCTTGGTCTCGCGGTCCAGCTCGCTGGCCGTGCTCACCGCGCCCGTGGCGGAGTCGATGCGGAAGTAGCCGCGGGAGCGCTCGTCGAACAGCCCCTCCATGTAATAGCTCACGCGCTCCTCCTCGCCCTCGATGGTGTAGTGCGCGTGAAGCTGGAGGAGGGGTGTGCCCGCCGGCTCGTTCTCAAACAACGCCACTTGGTAGTTGGGCATCGGGAACTTCAGGCTCCCTCGGCCGCTCGTGCCCCGCCGGGCCCGTCGCACCGGCCCGGCCCGGGTTTGAGGCAAGTTCGGCGGCGGCGATGGCGATGGCGACGCGGAGGGAGTCCCCGAGGCAGCGGCCTCCAGGGCCAGCTCCACCCGGACGGCGCCAGCCGCGCATCGCAGGGCACACAGGAGACACAGGCAGATGGGGCGGCCGGGACAGCGGGGCCCGGGACGCGGTGGGCAGCTGCAGGCGGGGATGGTGGTCAGAACTGCGAGCACTGAACGCTGCGCGGCCGCGCAGCCACCGGGGACGGGGAAGCAGAGCGCCCCGCAGAGCCCAGGTCCTGGGAGGACAGCCCGCGCGCGTCGGGCACGGGCTCGGCAGCCGGGATGGTGCGCGCGCGGCCGCAGGCGGAGGCTCAGCGCTGTCGGGGCACCGCGGGCTGCCAAGCGGACTTGCAGCGGCAACGGGCGCCCCGCCAGGTGCATGCAGCCCCGGGGCCCGGCGCCCGAGACGCGCCGCCGTCCTGCCAGCCGCCCCTCGCGGCCCACGTCCAGCAGCTCCCGGGGCGTTTGCGCGGCGCCCACCGCGTAGGTACCGCCCGGCCCGAGGGCGAAGGCGCGGGCCCCGCCAGGTACGCGCAGCTCCCAGGCCGCCGCTCGCAGCCCCAGCGCCGGCAGGGCGGCGGCGGCGGCCAGGAGCAGCAGCACGGGCAGCACGGGCGGCGGCGGCGCCATGGCCCGGAGCCCGAGCCCGAGCCGGGCGCCCGAACACAATCCATGCACCCGGCGCGCCTCCGCATCCACCCGGCGCGGCCGGGGAGCGGCTCCCGCGCGCCCGGCGCCCGGCCCTCGGGGCGGTCCGCGTCCCGCCTCCCCGAGGGTCCTGGCGGGGACTGTGGGGACCGCGCGCCCGGCCTCCCCTGCAGCTTCCACTTCGAGAGCACTTTGCGAAAGTTTTCGAAGTTGGTTTCAAGATGGCTCCTCCGCGCGTCCCAGTAGGGCGCCGCGCATCAACCTGCGGCGGCGGCGGCTCCAGGCGGCTCCAGGTGGCTCCGGCGCGGGCTCGGCCTGGCGGGCGTGGGAAGCGGGGCGTGCCCGGCACGGGGCGGGGGCTGAGTTCCCGGAGCGGGCTGGGCCGCACCTCGCAGCGCAGACCCCAGCGGCCGGCTGCTCCCTGAGCGATGCGCTCGGCCCGCGCCCCCTCCGCCCGGGCTCTCCCCGCCCCCGGCCCTGCCCCGCCCCGCCCCCGGCCCCGCCGCGTATTGTTCGGCCCTGGGGGGAGCCGGCAAGGAGGTGCGCGCCGGGGGGATCGCTATGGAGACGCGAGGGCGCGGCCCGGGCGGAGGCTGGGGGGTCTACTCCCCGGCGGCCTCCCCACCCAACCTCCCGGGGGGCGGGGCTGAGGGGGCAGGGCCGGGAAAGGTGGGGCTGGGGCCCCAGTTGGCCGCTACCCGTGGGGCGGTGGCTCCACACTTCGGGCGCGGGGCCGCGTCTCAGAGCCTGGCTCCCCACCCAGGCAGAACAGATCCACGGAGACCGCCGCTAGGGGTGCCGCGCGGGTGGGACCCGGGGGCTGAGGGCTGGGGCCGAGGGACCCGGGAGTCCCCCATTAAGGACTGCGGTGGCTGTCGAGAGGGGGTTACCCATTTTACAGCAAGACGCACGGAGGCTAAAATGCTTCACCCGGACCAAAACTCCCTGGACTTTGAAACCCAATTGGCAGCTACCGGATCTGCGTCCCACTTGCTTTAAAGCGCAACTTTTAACTTAAAGAAGAAAAGCCGGGTTGACATTAGGGATTTGGAGTGGACGGCGGAGGCGCGCTCATCTCCCGCGTGCGGCCGGCTCCGCGCGTTCGCGGACAGGCTGCGGAGTCCCAGAGGGTCCAGCTCCTCCCGAAGCGGGTTAAGGGGGACTGGGGGCCCTGGAAGCCGCCTGTGGCGAGCAAGTACCCGCGGGGATTTAGAGCCGGCAACGGCCCAGCCCCGGCCTCCTGCAGAGGCCAGCAGTGGGGGGACGGGGGTAGAGACCTTGAAGCTTTCAGAACCGTGACACACACACACCCGCCTCCTGCAGGGAACCATGGGCCGGGCGGGGACAGCTTTAGGTCTGAGAGACGGGTACACCTGCCTCCGGATCCGGCACAGCCATAGAGGGGTAGAGGCTTAGGACTTCGCGAACCCCCCCCATGGGCGGGGCTTTGGGACCTTGCGACATCACCCCTCCTGTGGGGCTTTGGGACTGTGCCACTAGCGGTTGGGAAGGACGCGCACTCTCTCTCGGTGGCGCGGGGGCGCCGGAATCCAGGACAGCCCTTAGGCCTCCCAGTGGTCGGGGGCTGTAGGCGGAGGGCTCCTGGGGCGGCTCGGAGCGGTGGGGTGGGAGCATTTCGCAGTCACCTCTAGAGCGGTCTTTCAAGGGAGGGTCGGATCTTGCAGCCAAATCTCCGAACTGAACTTTGATGAGTCCAGTCTCAGCGAGGACTATGGGCGGCTGCGGAGACCCGGAAGGGTTTCTCCCCCGGAGCGAGCGATGTGTGTGTGTGTGTGTCACACCCATACTCAGCCAACTTCACTCAAAGCTTTTGAAACAATGGCTTCGGGCTGAATGAAGCACAACGTGAGCATTCTCTTCCCAGTATCAACGATGTGAAGACGTTATATTGATCTAAAAGGTGGCGTTGCGCCGGGCGCGGTGGCTCGCGCCTGTAATCCCAGCACTTTGGGAGGCCAAGGCAGGTGGATCACGAGGTCAGGAGTTTAAGACCAGCCTGGCCAACATGGTGAAACCCTGTCTCTCCTAAAAACACAAAAATTAGCCGGGCGCGGAGGCAGCACCCATAATCCCAGCTGCTTGGGAGGCTGAGGCAGGAGAACTGTTTGAACCTGGAAGGGGGAAGGTTGGGGTGGGCAAAATTGCGCCACTGCGCTCTAGCCTGGGTGACAGAGCAAGACTCCATCTAAAAAAAAAAAAAAAGGTGGAGTTGCTTTGGAACTTTTTACTTCTGGAGAGTCCTGCTGGGACATGTGTGTGTGGACCGAGGGGAGGAAGGAGGAAAGTCCATCCCTTAATGTGAACGGTCCAGGACCTCCGCACCCCCATATACCCTTCCACTTGGGTTTTTCCAGGAAGGAGGAAAGGACAGGAGTTCTGGAGCAGGAAGTCCGGGCGGGTCCCTGAGCCTGGAGCCTCACAGTGGAAGGCTGCTGGGGGGGTCTGAAGGGGACCCAGGCACAAGGAAAACCAGAGAAGTCCAGGAGTGCATATTTTGCAATAAGGCTTTAAGCAGGACGGGTTGGGTTTAAATAAACAAAACTCAGCTGCAGCCAGTGGGTTTGGGTGTGGGCCTGCTTTCCTGGAATAAGACACCTGCAGGCTGCGAGGTAACCCCAGGGACTGCATAGCACCATTTCCAGGTCCTAGGGACAAGTGAGGATGGATGAATCTAACAGGACATCCAGCAAAGATGAAAGATCATTCCATTCACACTTAGTCCGACAGCACCATAACATTTAGGGGTGCACACAAATAGGGGAAACGTGAAGAAAAGCAAGGAGGTGTCTATGGGCACATTTGGGAGGGCTCTGGGGGGCAGGGGTGTCCCCTTCCAGACCTGAGGGTTACCGGAGTGTTGGCTTCGTGATCACACATTGAACTCTGCGCACCTGCTCTGTGTACGTTTCCCCATGCCTGCATGCTAGAGTCTGCAGTTTTATTTTTATTTGTATTTACTTTTAAATAGAGATAGGGTCTCACTATGTTGCCCAGGTTGGTCTCAAACTTCTGGGCTCAAGAGATCCTCCCACTTCAGCCTCTCAAAATACTAGGATTACAGGTGTGAGCCACCATGCCCTATACAGAGTCCACAGTTTTATTTTATTTTATTTATTTATTTTTGAGAAAAGTCTCACTCTGTCACCCAGGCTGGATTGCAGTGGTGAGATCTGGGCTCACTGCAACCTCTGCCTCCCAGGTTCAAGCTATTCTCCTGCCTCAGCCTCCCAGGTAGCTGGGATTAGAGGCAGGTGCCACCAGTTCTGACTAACTTTTGTATTTTTACAAAATAGTAGAGACGGGGTTTCACCACGTTGGCCAGGGTGGTCTTGACCTCCTGACCTCAGGTGATCCGCCCACCTCAGCCTCCCAAAGTGCTGGGATTGCAGGCATGAGCCACTGCACCCAGCCTAGAATCCACAATTTTAAATAAGTGGGGAGGGAGAGGGACTAAAAAGACAAAGGCTGCGGCTTGTGCTGGGTCGGCCAGGTGGTCCCGCTGCATCAGAAATCAGGAGTCTGGGCCGGGCGAAGTGGCTCACACCTGTAATCCCTACACTTTGGGAGGCTGAGGTGGGTGGATCACCTGAGGTCAGGAGTTCGAGACCAGCCTGGCCAACATGGCGAAACACTGCCCCTACTAAAAGCATAAAAGTTGGCCAGGCATGGTGGCAGACACCTGTAATCCCAGCTACTCAGGAAGCTGAGGCAGGGGAATCACTTAAACCTGGGAGGCAGAGGTTGCAGTGAGCCAAGATTATGCCACTGCACTCCAGCCTGGGCAACAAGAAAAAAAAAAAAAAAAAAAAAAAAAAAAAAAGAAGAAGGAGAAGAAAGAAAGAGAAATTCACGAGTATGAAATCACTGGCCTTTTCAAGGGGTGAGCTTTAATTTGCCACTAACTAGTTGTGACCTTCAGCAAGGCCTAACTCCTCATTCTCACTGGACGCAGTAGTCCTAGACTCCTAGCACAGTTGAAGGATTAACAAGAAAACCTGCACGAAGTGGTTGGCGCAGGGCCCGGCTCAGCATGGATCTGCCAGGGCTAGCACTGACCATGATCACAGTTGTTTCCTAGCATGAGTTCAAGGCTGCCTCCTCTCCGTCTTCATTACGCGAATCCACGCATCTGTGTCTGCAGAGAAGCGGGGGCTGCAGCTTTCACCTGATTTCCCGAGGGCTCTGTACTGGGACGCTGATCCAGTGCACCCAGTGTGTTTCCAGAAAGTGGAGCTGATTCCCAGAGAGCGGAAGGGTGTACTTGGGCTTTGTAAAGGGTAGCGACCTGCGTGATGGGCTCGTTCACTGCCCAAGTCTGTGGCTCCCACAGGCCACTCCGCAGACCATGTCCTTCCCCTTTGACGCTGGCTTGGAACAGGGTCTCTTCTCACTTAACCCCATGCGTCACCATCTCTGGGGGCCAGTGGCCCACTCATGACTCTCCGGGTGGGGAGGAGGCTTGGAGTTGAGTAACGGCACCCTGGGTCATTCTTGCACCCGTCACCCTGAGAGCCACTGGCCAGCAGAGGCCAGTGCTGTTTTCTGTGCTGTTTTCTGTGCCTGGAATTGCTGCTTGCAGCCTTTCCCAGGGGCTCAATGGATTGTAATTGCTGTTTGTATTTTGCACGTGCCTGGAGATGTTTCATGGGAAGTGAGATTTTAAAAAAACAAAAATAGAATTTAGAAAAACAAGAAGGCAGACACGATGGGTTTCTAGTGTTTTACATGCTGTAGGAAGCCCTTCAGAAAGGTTTTTGCCAGGGGCTGGAACCAGAAGCTACATGACTTCTGGAATCCGCTCCTTACACGATAAATTCCTGGACCAGTTAAACGGCAAGGAGCCACAAGAAATCACCCACGGGCGAAAGCTGAGTGAGCCCAGGCCAAGCTCCACCTGGCCTTATTTTTAGAATTCAGGGGGAAACCTCTTGGGAACAGCCTCATAGCACCCCTCTGTCTCCTCCGATGCCTTACAA